CTCTGATAAGACATGGAAGGGACGAGTACCTCGGAGTGAACGCCACAGTAAAGAAAGGAACGAGTGGAGGGGCAACATTGCATGGCGGCGGTGTGAAGTTCCAGGGAGCGTGGGCGGAGTGGCCCGTTGGCAGGCAGGGGGAGAATCAGCTGTACCACTTTGCGAACTACAACTTCACTCTTGTGGCGACGGTGTCCATCCACGGTGAGCCGAAGAGTGACAGTGTCCCTTTGATGGGTGTGCGTGCAGGCAGTGACGGAGGAACGAAACTTATGGAGTTGTCGTACGGCGGCGGAAAGAAGTGGCAGGCGCTGTGCTGTGACGGAACAACCGCGGAGCACGGCAGCACTTGGGATCCAGAGACAACACACCAAGTGGCCATTGTGCTACAGAACGGCACCCAGGGCTCCGTGTACGTCGATGGTCAGCGTGTGTGTGAGAGTGTGCAAAGTAACTTTGAAAACACGGAATCGAAAGGTATCTCCCACTTCTACATTGGAGGGGATGGAGGCAATGCAGAGAACACAGCGGGTGACGAATATGTGTCTGTGACTGTGACAAATGTCCTGCTGTACAACCGCCCGTTGACGTTTACTGGTGGGAGTGCCGATTTGGAAGAAGCAACGGGTGATGGCGGCATTGTGCGTGGGAGCGGACTGTTGCCATTGCTGCTTCTGTTGGGACTGTGGGGGTTTGCGGCTCTGTGAGGCGTGAGTGGCTGCCGCGTGGGACAATTGCGCCCTCCCGAGCACAGAAATACTATTTCCATAGGAACGAATTTATTTCATAAAAACTTTTTTTGTGCGTATTTTAAATATTTTTAATGCTTTAATTTTTTTCATTTCATCAAATTTGTTTTTTTTTCCCATCCCCCATTCTTTTTTTCTTCTTCCCGGGGCAATCACTATGGACTTTTTTCTCTCTTTCCTCTTTAATTGTTTCTTCTGCACTCTTCCTGTGAGGGGTGCCGTGTGTTTCCCGCCCAACTGCTCCACTCGCACACCCACCGACACGCTCATGACGACGGCCCTGTGCGCCTCGCCTGCTGCACGCATGAGGAGGGGCCGCGACGAACGGCGCGCTGAGGGAGCCGTGGCGTGTGGGCGTGCGACGAGGGCCTGTGGGGCGGAGCACACATTTCTTTTCCTCTTGTTTTGTTTTTTTTGCGGCCAGGGCGGGCAGACACTCGCAGCGCCACACACACAGCCACACCCTGCCGCCGTGTTTTTTTTTTGCTGCGCTCACTCTCCCGATGGAGAGACGCGACTCCCGTCATGTCTGCGTGATTCTCTCAGTCCCCACACACACGAGTGACTGTGCTCTGCGGGCCGCACTCACGCACGCTGATGAAAGGGCTGAGGGGAGCAGCAACACGCAGATGACCCCATGAAATATAAACGATGTGCGGACACACATGGAGGGTCAGACGGTTGAAAGACATTTAAATATCTTTTTAATTTTATTTTCGGACAAAATATATGCAGACAGTTTCTGGAGCAACATGGTAGTTGGGTGCTTTTTTTGTGGTTTTCTTTCTTTCTTTTTTTTTTTCTTTTTTTCTTTTTTTTTTTTTTTATCATTTGGGTGCAGCAGTAATGGAGGACTTTTTTTCATTTTTTCATTTTTTATTTTTCTTTCCAAAGTGTGAGTTGCGAAAAGGTGAAGATGAATTTTTTTTAATTTTAATAAATTTTTATGAATTGCCGCTGCTTTGTCTGCAGTGCAATATCATGAGCTTGAGCAGTCTTTTTCTCTTTATTTTTGCCATGCGCTTCTGCTGTACAGTTTTGTTTGTGCGTCCCTTCACATGCTCCGCTCCTGCTTTTACTTATTTGCTTCGTGTGCCTGCAGGCACACACAACCACACAGAATGGTCATTGCAGTGGATTTGGATGCTTCTTTTGTAGCGTGTGCTGGCGGTTGCGGGTGGCTGCTGCTTCTTCCGTGGGGATGAAGGGAAGGAGGAGAGAGGGAGCGTGCACCGCGAGTCACTCTTCCTGCGGGTGTGATGCGCGCGGTGGGCTGCGACTGCTGTGGAGGGCCGCATCCTTTCGGTGTGCGCTTCTCCGCCGTTGTGCCGTGCGTTTGCGCATGCCATTTATTGTGCGCGTGCGTGCTGGGCATGTTTTTCCGGAGCGTTGGGCGGCCACCATCTGTCTATGGCGGTTTGTGTGAGCGGGCACGTGCGGACGAGGGTCAGGGCGTATGGAATGAGGGAATGGCTTGAGGAAAGGGGAATTTGATTTGGAGGGTATTTGGACCAGATTCATTTGGCTGCGGTGGACACATGCACGACGGATGTGTTTCTGCATAATTGGGGGAGGATGCGACAGGATTTTCCGAAGTGGCCCGTCAATGCAATTCGGGTTTCATGGCACTGAGGCACAGTGGTCTTCCTGCAATGGCTGGTGACGGCCCCTAGTGGACCGGCGTATTTATGCTGCTGCTGCTGCTCGAGGAGGCGTAGAAGTGCGATTTGAGGTGAGCGACGGAAGGGTCACACATCCCGCAGTGACGGTTGTCGTTGGCCCACCGGGTGCCTCTGAGGTTTTTGTTGGATGCAACGTCCTTATGCCCGTCTCCGGATGGCGGCATCCCTGATGCAGCCAACGAACGGGGCTGGGAGCGACGGTGAGACGCAAGCACGTGTGGATGTTCGGAGCGGCCGGCACACCGCACGCTGAGAGCATGGCACGGTGAGGACCGGACCTAGAAAAGGGACACCGCGTGGGACGTCAATCCTCACTGCAGCGACCGCCACCGAATTCGGATTTGCTCGCACCTCCTGCGGTCCCTCTTCCTCCCCTCACTTCTGTGCCGAGGACTGTGCCGCGGGATCCAGCAGCGCGATGTTTGGCCGCACGAACATGGCCCGAACAAATGGTTTGTGGGTGGAGATGTGCACTGCGAAGAAAATGAAAAAAATGTTGCGAGACGACCACCACGACAAGACCGGAGTGAAGCTGTGTCTTGTCCACTTGCGCGAGGGCGGCCTGCCACCTGGTCGGTTAGGAGGATTATTTTTTTTTTTGCGTCGTTGCGCTCTCTTTTTATTCCGCTGCGTTTTCTTGCGGACCTGCGAAGGGAGATTTGCAAGAAATTCCTGCGAGGCGTCCGTGCCGCCGTCGGAAAAGCGGATCCCCCTTGAAAAACGCTGCTTTTTAAATTTGTTTTGGGCGGGGTGTTCCTGTCGATTCAACGCGACTTTGTTTTGCGTATTTGATGCGTGTGTTTCCGAGCGGTTCGATCAGTGCTCCCAGCCCACTCGGATGTGGTGTGCGCGTCGACGTGAAGGTGCCTGCCAGCCGTTTTATTGCCTCCCCCGCTGTGGCTGCCGCCGCTGCCTTCTTCTCTTCCTGAGATCCTGCGGCTTCTTGACAAGATGTTTTGGAGAAGGCGTTGCCGCTCTTATCGTCCATGGTATTTTGATTCTGGTGCCGCGGTCAGGAGACATTGAACGAGAGGGTTTGCTGCCCTTTTGTTTTATTTGTCCTCTCTGCCTGATGGCCAGTTCTACACAAACGTGCTGCTCGGCACTTCAGTTGGTGCTGGCGGGATTGCTTACGGTTGTCACTGGCAATCGCATGCGCCACCTCTTCTCTGCTCCTTTTCAGTGTCGCATTTTTTATTGATTGACGGACGCCATTCTGTCCGGCGTGCCACCTTGATTGGATTGTGTGGGACTGCTCGCCAACGCCATCGGAGAAAGCAGGCCGACTTTTCACGTATTTAATTCCACCTTGCGCGCAGGTATTTTCTTTACATGTTCTGTTGGGCACTCAGACAGCGAGGTGTCCGGAAATATGCGTGCGTGGAATTTTTCCCGCCGTGTGAACTGCGGGCAGCACCGAGGGGCTGCCACTTTGACTCCGCAGAGTTGTTGCGTCTCTTTGCGGGGTTGGCAGGGAAATTCCATGCCTTCTGTTACTGCTGGTTTGTCCCCAAATGTTGTCACTCCATGCGAATAATGTGCTTCAGCGAGTGAGGGGGTGGTTGGGTTTGTGTGCACTCTGATTGTGTTTGCTACTTTTTGCGGGCACGCAAAACCTGATTGGTGGTAAAGTGGAGCGGGGCGATGCATGGCTGCGTCTCGCCCATCGTTCACTGCACGATGGTGTGGTGCACATTGTGGTGTTGCCTCTGCGATGTGACTGCGGTCTCCTGCGCGGCAATGGTGGTGGGTGGAGGGGAGTGTTGATTCTCGGCGGGACGGTGGGATCGTGCCTCCCTTATTTTTCTTTTGTGGAGGTGTGCACTTATTTTTTGTGTCGGTGATGGGGCAAAGCGACGGACAACGTGGATAAAACAAAATAAAAAAGGGCGATAGTGTGGCTGTATGTTGGGGTTGGTTGCACGCCTCGCGTTGCTGCGGGGCGGTGGGCCTCGGCTGCCTCACCGACAGGCGTTGCAGTGCGGCTGCATGGCGCACCGACAGCCCCGCCGTGCGAGTGCCACGCCCAACGCCGTTGGGACAGCGGGACGGAACAGCCGCGAGTGTCCTTTGGAGCCAGCGGCGCCTGCTGGCCGCAGTTGGGCGGTGCGAGTGGGATGCTTCACCGCACGGGTGTTGTGGTGGCACCTCGCCGTGGCTCTTGTGATGGTTCCGACGCTGCAGCTCGACGTGTGGCGGGGAGTAAAGTGTGGCCGCGGTGGACCATGAGCAGCACCGTAGAGGAAATCCTGCAGGAGGGAAACACTAGCAGCACCAACATGATGCTGAGTGATTTCCTTTGGAATTATGTTGGCGGCAGGGCGGCCGTTGATGAAGGCTACAATGTGACGATGGAGTTGTTTGTTCAGGAGCCGGATGATTGCGTACAAGACCAGCGGCTTCTTGAAGAAATTCTTAACTTAACTGCGCACCAAGCGCTGGAGGCCATTACTAAGCCGCTTCACGAAGGTGTGCTCTCTCGGGCAACGTAGGACTATGAAAGAAAAGCATACAATCACTCCTCTTGCAAGGGGAATACCAAACGGAGTACTCACGCAGGTACTGACGGAAGCGAGGCGGGAGGCAGAGGGAAGGCTAAGACGAACGCAGGAAATGAAATTTACCATTTCCACTAATATCGAAGATGTACTGTTTAAAGGAAGAGCTCGCGTCAATGAAATGAAGCTGAGCGACTATCTTACAAGAGAACTGGACGGCAGGGGCATTGTGGACACCAATCGGGATGTATTGCTGGAAGAGTTTTTCAAGGACCCCACGAAGTATATCCACGATAAAGGAGCGTTGAACGAAATACAGGCATCGGATCGTTATTTGAGTATGAAGCGAGCTGTGAAGGGTGAAGCGATCTTCGATGAGGATATACGCAAGCTATGCGATAAGGGTGTCAACAATCCACCTGGGCGGTCATTAGCTGCTGCGGAGGCAAAAGCAACTGTTCATAACTCCAATAAACATTTTTTGGATGCGGCTGCCGGGGAGGCGAGGAACCCAACGACGACGAGCGCACCGGAGAAACTGGAGGGATGCTACGAGTCTGTGCACAATGCGAGGCGGAGCCATGCGGTGGAACTTCCGGACGGCGTGGAGCGGAAGAAAAACGAGGACGGGAATGGGGGTGCGTGAGGGGAAGCCAGAGCAGTCATGGACGTACAAGAAAGCTGACGACGCTACCGAAAAGAATGACGCTGTGCAGCAATCCGGTGCGGCACCTCCCGTGTTGATGGTGCTCACCTCGGACAAGGGATGGCCGTACTCGCGGAATACGATGCAGGATCTTCCCAAGGACGTTTTTGTAAACTGTGGGGTGGGTCGAGTGTGGCAGATCGTCAGGGGCGATCTAACCGCGTGGCTCAGCCCTCACGGTGGTACCGACTTTACGCCCAAGCGACGTGTGCTGATTGAGACGCCCGGGATCGGGAAATCGGTGGCTGCCGGCTCGTACCTCCTCTACTAGCTGCTGCACTGCGATGTGGAGAAACTCCAAGTGGTAGTCCACTGTTTTGGTGGAGGAGATGCGTGCGTGTTTGACAAGACCACCAGAGCGGTGACAAGATACGGCGATGAGGACATGTGCATCTCGGAGTTGAAAAGTCTGAGGGGCCATGGGAGGAATGCGTATATTATCTACGATGTGGCAAAGGAGGGAACGCCGCCACCGAGACATTTTGCGCCTACTTCCGGAAGGGGCATGATTGCGGTGTCATTCCCAAAGGTAACAACTGTGATGAGTGGGCGAAGCAACTACGAGCCGCGCGAGTCATCGTGAAGTGCCCCGACGAGATGGATGTGAAGGCGATGTGCGCATGGATAACGCGTGATGAAACCAAAGAGAAACAAGCGGAATGCTGGAAGAGGTCGAAAAACACATGTATCTTTTGGGACCGATTCCACGTCACGTCTCTGATGAGGAGGCGTTTACGGAACGCTGTGAAGCGGTGAGGTTTGCATTGCAATCGATCAACGAGGTAACTGTGAAAGAGTACTTTTCACGGGGAGGTGAGTCGCCATTGTATTCTGAGGACCCGTCCCACAAGCCTGTGAAAGTTGTTCGGGAAATATACGAAGGCGGCGAGAGCCTTTTCAATGCACCGATATCTGATTGCCTCGAGGAACGGGCGTTGGAACGCTTCCCAAGTGCAACAGAATAAGATGGCTTTTTGAGGCTGATGTTGGCGTCGAAGGATAATATTTTGCCAATATTTTTTGGATGGTTTGCTTTGAAATTGTGCACGGAGAGTGCCTTTGTCAAGACAATGGGGACGAAACTCACGGAGTTTGAGCCACCAACAGGACGTCAGGCAAAGCCCTGCGTTTTGAAGTTGGCCACTGAACCGCATCCCAAGGGAGATGAAGGTTTGCTGCCGAGTGAATATGAAAAAACGATCCGTAAAATAAAGTACGGGGTGCTGTACAAACCGGCGGTCAAACACTTTCCGCTGGTGGACGCCTTTTTTTTCTTGGTGTCCAATCCAATGACCCTGGTTGAGCTGCGGATGACTACGGCGGGTGGACAACACACCACCGCCAGCACTGTGAGGCAGTTCACTGAGTGCCTGGCGGCATATTGTAATGGTTGGGAGGAATCATCCCAAGACATGTCGTGGGAGATTATTTACGTCCAACAGGCAGACAGCACGCCGATGAACGACTGGCAGAGATGTGATGTTGTCAATTCCAGTAATAAAACCGACGCGGACAACAATGAAATAGCGGCGTTCTGGAGGGAGAAGGTGCGCCAGTACCCAGTGTTAATATCGTCCGGAGAATTTTCAATGGACGAAGCTCTCCGAAGTGTGCAATAAAATAAATAACAATAGGAACATAGATTGGGAAATTGAAAGTGAACGAGACAGCTTGATTTGTGTTAAAGATATTGTGGGTTTATGTATTTTTGGATGCTTGTGTCTGAGCATGCGGTGCGGGTGCACCAGCCCCGTGCGGTGACAGTATATCGCACAGATTTCAGAACTGTTCAACGCTATCGAACATAACAGTGACAGAAGAAATTAGGGAGGGAAAGGGGTTGTTTGGCTTCTGGTGAAAAGGATTGGGTGGTTTTTATGTAGTGTGTTGATTGTGTGGGTACGAGGATTAATTGGAGAATTGCCCCGGTATGAGGGAATCATTGTGGCTGGCGGTGTCACAGTACCACTGCATTGTCCATTTTCTTCTATTGTGTTCGAAGGCCCATCACTAAACGAAGCATCTTTAAGGGATGGACGACGAATGAGTTCTATTGAGGAAACAGTGCGCTCCGTGTGACCGCGTGGACTGAGGCGCCGCTTCATGGATGGGTGAGGATCCGCTTCCACGTGTGGCTCTTTGGGTGATTGTTCGCTCGCTGTGCGTTGTGTGTTTTCTGCGGGGCTGTGGCCGTATCCCGTTGGCCGTGGGCTTGAACTGGAGGCGGTGGCATTGGGTCTCTTCTCGTCCATTGGTGGGTGACTGCTGGCGGTGTGTGCGTTTGTTGTGTGGAGGGCCGAATCTTCTTAACTGCGGACCGACAGCACTGCAATGGTGTGTGTGTGTAAGGGCTGTTGTGGTGTCGCGGCCAGGATGAGGGCCGTGGCGATACTTTTCCCGCCTGTTGTTTGTTACTTCCGTGTGTTTGTGCTGCTTCTTGCTTTTTTTCCCCTGTCATTTTCTTTTCTCCCGTGTTCCTGCGTGGAGTGGCCGCATGCTTGCGGGCCATGTTGATTGTGAGTGCCTCTTGACGGCATCCATCTATTCATCTCTCTCCGCCTGTCTGTCTTCCACTGTTGGGTGTGGCGTGTTGCACCGTGGGAGTGCTGCCCCGCACACACCGACGGCCCGCCGTGACCTGCTGTGTTGCTGCACTTTTCTGTGGGTGATGGCTCTCCGTGCTGACCCTTCCGGATTCTCTTGTTTTCCGCTCTCTGCGTGGGTGCTCTGCTCTGCCCCCGCTGGCGTGTCTGATGTATTGCCGTTGCTGCTGTTTTCCTCCCTCACTTTTTGAACACACACAAAGAAGGAAAGCAAGCGCTAATCGCTACTGTGCACTCTGAAGGCTCTGAAAGGACCAACCGTACACCGCCCACACACACATATTTGTATACTCTCACGTGTTGCTGCAGTGAAGGCACCCAACAAACACAACCTTTGCGGCGTGAGCGGATCCAGCGGAAGGAGGAAGGAAGCGAAAGTGATCAGCAAATGCCCAGCATGTCCCGGCGTGTGTTTACTTCCGCGGTGCTGCTCCTCCTCTTCGTTATGATGTGCTGCGGCAGTGGAGCTGCCCCTACTGAGGCGAGCAATTCAGGGAAAAAAATCATCTTTCAAGTAAATGAATCATTTTCTGATTCATGGAACGAATCTTTGGTACAAGCATTTCATTCGTTCCGTGCACCCTCTCTTGCTTACGTGAGTGGTTTTGTTGTGGCCACTGTTGAAGCGCATTACACAAACTCCACGGATCAAAAATCGTGCGTAAGTATCGCTGCAAAGTCGATGATAAGCAGTGGAGGGACGTGGACAAATGGAACTGCCATCGTGTTTGATCATTACGACGTGAAAATTGACCGCCTGTTGAGCCCAACTACCATTGCGAACGGTAATAGTGATGATACAAATGCTCTTGTCGGGGGTTATGGCACGTCAACGACTCCATTGACGGAGTTGACTGATGGTAAATATTGGATGCCCAGGATGGCGGAAGTTATGGTTCGGCGTTACAGAGACGGTGAGGAAGAGGAACGTTTTGAGTGGAAACAGTTTGCAGACACGTCGAAACTTCCTTATGACTTTTGGGGGGATAACAGCGCTAACCGCGACCGTTTCAAACAATTCCTGGGTGGTGGTGGCGCAGGCATTAGGATGGAGGACAAAAGTCGCTATTTGCTGCCTATTCAAGCCTTGACCCATGATGGAAAGAACGTTTCTTTGGTCATCCTTGCCAACGGTACCTATTATGGTTGGGAGTTCTCGGAGGATACGAGTGATGAGGGATGCATCCAGCCTGCGGTCCTTGAATGGAATGATGAAATTATCATGATGACGTCGTGTGATGACGGCAGCCGCAGGGTTTACTGGTCAAGCGCCATGGGGAGATGGTGGTATGAGGAATACGACACTCTTTCACGCGTGTGGGGCAACTCGCTGAATCGTACAGGGCACGGCGTGCAGGGTGGCTTCGTCAGCGCGATGATCGATGGACAGAAATACATCCTCGTCAGTCGGCCGGTATATGCTGAGAAGAACGGTAAAGAGACGGGCCGACTTCACTTGTGGCTGACGGACATGCAACGAATTTATGATGTTGGGCCGATATCCGCTGAGAATGAGAACGTTGCCGCCAGCACTCTGCTGTACGCCACGGTCGAAGCGCAGTCATTGAAAAAGGAAGGACCGAAGGAAGAGAAGAAACTGTACTGCTCGTACGAGGTTGCTGCAGAGGGAGATAACTACAACATTACTTTTGTGGACCTGACGGAGAAGCTGGAGGAGATGAAGAAGGTGGTGGCTGCATGGAAGGAGAAGGACGCGTACATTGCGAGGGAACACGGCTGCGGGAATGAATGGAGGAATAATTGGCACCGTGACTGTGGTGAAGCCCTCACTAAAGGGCTGTTTGGCTTCTTATCCAACAAGTCAACTGACAGCACGTGGGCAGACGAGTACCTCGGGGTGAATGCCACAGTGAAGAAAGGGATGCCAGCGGCGGATGGTGGATTGACGTTCGAAGGGTCCGGAGCAGGGGCGGAGTGGCCTGTTGGCAAAATGGGGCAGAATGTGCCGTACTACTTTGCGAACTACAAGTTCACTCTTGTGGCGACAGTGTCCATTCACAAGGAGCCGAAGGGAAGCAGCTCTATCCCTTTGATGGGTGTGAGGATGAACGATGCAAAAGGCACCCTGCTCTTTGGTCTGTCGTACACCCACGAAAAGAAGTGGAAGGTAACATTCGGTGAGAGTCTTCGGAATTCCTCGGCGTATGATTACGGTGTTGGATGGGAAACAAACAAAAAATATCAGGTGGCACTGGAAATGCATCATTATGATGGCGTGAGTGTGTACGTGGATGGAGAGGAGATATACTACACCAAAGATTATGAGGACGGGGAGGATTACAACTTTACTCAAAAGTTACGAACGCTGTTGAGGTCCCACGGCATCTCGCACTTTTACATTGGCGGGGACAGTACGAGCAACTCGGACGAAATTGATGTGACGGTGAGCAACGTCCTGCTGTACAACCGCGCTTTGAACGAAGCAAAGCTCAATGCGTTAATGAAGAGGAACACAGTCGCTGCTGCAGCGGCGAAGGTGCCGGACCAGGAAGTTGCGGCTCAAACTACCAATGTGAGTGAACCTTCTCGTCATCCCGCCAATGTGCCCGTCGCCACGCCTGAAGCACAGCAAGACGCCACATCAGCACCACGAAGTCAACACTCACCAGCGCAAACATCAGAAAGTGAAAGTGGACCAGCAGAATCCAAGCAAACATCTTCTGATATCATTGACCCCTTCACCTCAGCTGGTGTGGGAATGGCGGAAGAAGACTCTACGTGGAACGTCAACACCGACGATCGGGCGCCGCACGGCACTTCACCTGATGTTTTGGAGAGCGTGCACGACGAGCCGTCCACTGCCAACACGCTCGCCAGCGACGAACAAGACGCTGACCGTGACGAGGACACGCATGCCCACACTGCCGTGGGCACGAACAGCGAACCCGATTCATTCAGCAGCACTAACGTGTCGGGTGGCGCTGATGCCGCGCCGACTCCTTCGAGCACAGCGCCTGGGGAAAACAAGGTCCCATCGGAGCTCAACGCAACAATACCCTCGGACCACGACATTTTGCTTGAGTTCCGCGATTTGGCGGCCATGGCTCTAATTGGTGACAGCACCGTGCATGCGTGTGTGTCTCGGGTGTTGTTGCTGCTGCTTCTGGGGCTGTGGGGCACTGCGGCTCTCTGCTGAGGTGTGAGGGAGGGTGGAATTGCGGCTTTTCGTGGAACAACAAATGTGCAGCTTCCCAGCACTACGCAATCAAATGTCAAGAATACCTCTTTTTACTTTTTCTTTTTTCATTTTTTTTTCCTTTTTTTTTTCTTTTTTTTTTCTTTTTCTTCTTTTCTTTTTTTTTTTGTTTCATTTCTTTTTTTTTTTTACTTTTTTACTTTTTTTACTTTTTTTTTTTTAATTTTCTTTTGGTTTTAAATTTTTTTTTTGCTGGTGCTCAGTTGAAATAGCCAGCACCCCTGTGTGTTTTCCCCCCCAAATGGTCGCTTTCTGCACATCGTCATGAGTGATGTGTTTCCCCCTCTTGTTTGCTTTTGCTTTTGTGACCCACACGCGGTGCCGGCCTCATTGTCGTGCGTCCCACGGACTGCACGAGAGGAAGAGTGGAGGAGCAGGCCGGATGCCGCATGGAATGTGAAGAATTTTGTGTGGGCTCGTGGAACAATGTGTTTTTTTTTTGTTTTTTTTCTGTGTGGACAGTATGTATGAACTCAAAAACACGGTCGTATTGTACTCCAGAGGAGACGAAATGAAACTCGCGCCAAATCGCTTTTTTTTTTCTTCGTTTGTTTG